AATATAAGGCTTATATATGGTGCAATGTCTTCCTAGATAAAAACCTTGTTTTAGGGGGAAAAAAAACCTTTTTTAATAGCTTATAAAAATGCACACTTCCTTTTGGGTTTTTCTTTCTTTTTTTATTTTATTTTTTTTCCTTTGGAAACAGATCTTGCTATGCATTTCAGACTGACCTTGAACTCACTGTGTAGCTGAGACTGGCCTTGAATTTGCAGTGATCCTGCCTTTTCCTTCCAAGTACTGAGATTAGAATCATGTGCCACTTTCAGGCTAAAAGTATATTTAATTGTTTCTTAAGTATTATTTTATTATAGAAATGAAGATAATAGAAAAAAGTATTTCCATGAAGTAATAATTCTAGAAATAGAATTTTTTTAAATTCAGCCATATAGTATTGTGGGTCCCTAGTATTGAAAATGGTCTCTCATATTTGTTAGTTCAAATCAACACTGGAAAGGGAAAGTCTGTGTATGATTCTGTCTATATACTGCTTACACAGTTGAAAGTCTGGTTTTTTTCCCTATAGTTTCTATGTATTTAAGTTTTTAAATCACTAAAACCATCTTACATAGTAAACAAGAGAAATGATTTCCTTAAATTGTTTGTTTGTGTTTTGCTATGTTTTGTTTTTTGTCAGTGAATCAGATCTGCTGCCAACCCAGAAAAATACTTAATAGCACATCATAAATTCTTTGCTTTAAGGCAGAGCCCCTAATAGCAAAGGTCAGTGGTTCCATAGATTTCTCCTGAATACAAACTCAGGGACACTGAAATCCTTACTCAGAAAAAAAGAACAATTTCTGTGAAATGACTTTTAGCAAATGTAATAGAAGAGTAGTTTCCCAATAGTGTACATGGCTGAAAATAAAACATTTTCTTTTCTCCTTTTTAATTTTCAAGATCAGTATCCTCAAAACCATCAGGTACCTGATGACAGTATAGTAACTGCAGTCACTGATAAGCACTTACAGGAACACTGTGAGCTGAGAGCTCAAAAGTACCCTGCTGAAGACATGATGGTGAATAGGGTTTTTAGAGACATTTTGACTGAAATAACAGTTACTAGTCAGTTTAGATTGATCAGTGAAGCTATTGATCACAGCCCACCAAACGTGAGTATGCTTTAATTCAGTAAGCTACTCTTCTGTGTTATACATAATTCATTTACTTGATTTATTTACATATAGCAGTGTGGATAACCAATCAGATGCATGTAGGCTGTACAGTATATACAGTGTTGCTTTTCTTTCTTTGTGCCATGATGCACCAGGTTAGGTTTTCTTCTAGACCAAACCATACTACTCCTTGCCACCTCCCTCACTGATACACTACAGCAGGATCTCATGTCTGAATACTCCAATGCCTCCTGCTTCCCATAATCTATTCTTCTCTTCAAAAGGCCCCAACCGAAGCACTCTTAAAAAATCACATCTAAGCACATTGCTCTCCAGTTCAGTGTCCTTATTGGAGCCTCCAAACATGTGTGGAGAGGCCCCCTGTGCCTCCCTGATCTCCCTTCCTGATGGACTCCTCCTCAGCCATCCCATTCCAGTCTTGTCTGCCTTTCGTGCAGCTTCCAGACCACATAAGGCACAACCTCCACGGCTCAGACCTCTCAGCAGACAGGTTTCCCTGACCATCTTATCTAAATCACCCTCAACAACACTGCCCATGCTCTCTGTTCCTTTGTCTCGGTTTTTCTTTCTTCAGAGCACTTTTCATGTTATACATTCACTTATCTTTTAATTTCATGACTATATCCCTGCTTGAGAATGGAAATTTTATGAGGCCAGGGGCTTTATCAGTCCATTATTCACTGCTGTCGCACTGAAACCTAACTAGAGAAGGCCCCCAATAAATGCTTGTTGGATATAAAAGATAGCATGAAAGGATGAAAAAGGACATTCTTTTCCTAATTAGAGTGACTGTTAGGAAACAGCAGCATGCAATGCCTATGATAGTTCAGGTGTGCCAACTGCAAGCTAACAGCACAAAGATGAAAGGGAAATAAAGCTAAGACAGTGAAATGTTGAGATTGGAACAGCTTTGCAAACATGACTCCTTGAGGCCCACATCTAGGCAGGCGTGAAACAGCCTTGCCAGCTAAGTAATCCTTCAATCGCACAGTTGTTTGCAGAAGATAACATAGGGATCCATTCTTCAGTTATACATCCAAAACAGCTTCTGGACTCGAGGCAGTTCAGCTCTACAGAGTCACCCAGGAGCCCAGATGATTGCTGTCATTTTGCTATTCCCGTTTTTCCTTTCATGAAATGTTCTCCACTGTTATCACTGATGCTGTCTCACCAGTATCACTTGTACAGGAAAGGAAATAAAGGAAATTGCGGACAATTTTCCTTTTAAAGAGACAGCACAGAAGCATCACATAGCCTTTTTGATCAAAGTCAAACTTCATCGTGTAACCACATTGAAATGCAAAAAAGACTGGAAAATGAGGCCATAGCTGAGTGGCCATGTACTTTGCTAAAACCCAAAGTGTTTGAATTCTAGAAGAAGAGGGAAATGGATACTGGGGAATAGTTAGTAGTCTCTACTTAAATGATTAGTTGAGGGCTACTTAGTAGCTACTATGTTACAGGCACTATTCAAAGCCCTATAATAGACACAAAGACAATCCCCAGGGTTTATTCGTCCTAAAGAAGACACATACTATAACACAGTGCAGTAAAAAACACTATCCAAAAGCTTCACTCTAGGGGGGAGGGAAGGAAAAGGGACTAAAAGGGGATTAAGATGCGTTATGCACCTGTAGCAGCTTTTCATGAGGAATGTGAACATTATGTACTACACATGTGTACTAATAAAAATTTTTAAAAGCTTCAGGATAGAAAGGAAGGAAATGAGAGAAGAGTGTTTAATATGAAGTAAAAGACTGAGTGGGAGAAAGTAGAGGACAAGTCTAAGAACAGCAAGCTGTCCATCTGGTTTTGTTCACACATAAAAAGAGGTGTGAGAGAAGAGGCTAAGGGCTTCTTATTTCTTTTCACTTGGTGTAGGAACTGGCACAGGGTTTTGGAGGGCAGTATATGATCAGAAATGGCCATAAGTGAATGGGAGAATAGAGAACTTGACTATGGAGAATCCCAGTGTTTTTTTCTGAGACAGCTCTGTAGGAAATTTAAAAAATACCTCTACAGTCACCTTGGTCAAATATTAAACTGAATTACTTGTATTAACATATTTTTGAGTACTTGCCACCATTAGACTATGACCTTCAAATTTTTCTGACCATGTACAAGAAGAAACAGATTTCTTTCTCTTTGTCTACTCTGTCTACTCTAGGTTTTCATTCTGTCTATCTTATGTTTTTATTCTTAATGGTAAGCTGCGCCTTGTTTGAAAAACACTTCTTCAGGCACAATAAAGAAGCAGGAATAATATGAGATAAGAGATATTCTAGTTTTCTAAAAGATTGTGTTGGTTAAGGGAAAGAAAAACAGATATAAACAACCGCAAGACAAATAGAGAATTCATGAAACTTTGGAGCTAGAAGGGACCCAAAAAGTCTTGTTCCCTTAACATTATATATAATTAGGAAGAAAATGAAGCAGAGAAAAATTACTAACTTAAGGGCTCCAAGTAAGTAAGTTCTGCAAATGCAAGACAATGCTTTGTGGGAGGTCTAAATCCCTTCTTATGCATTTAAATTATTTTTTCAAATTTCAAAAATTGTGGTATATATAATTGGTAGCAAACAAATACTGCTTTTAATAGAAATACTATTCAGAAGTTCTATTCAGAAATGTAGTATTCATTTAAATATTCACTTACAGTCTTTTATCAGGTGTATGGACAGGCAACGGGACTTATATATAAAGTTGTACGGTAAATCCATCAAATCAGTGATCTCAGTGACTGAATTACTTCTCCTCTGAAGATACAATCAAATACATATATTTGAGGCTGGGGATATAGCTCAGCAGCACAGCACCGGCCTGACAAGTGCAAAGCCCTGAGTTTGATTCCCAATACCTACCCCTCCCAAAAAATATATATATACAGATTTGAGGCCATTGAGTATCTGAAGAAAAAGTATATACTCTTATCCCTCTGTCCCCAACTACATCCTTGAAAGACTGAAGTAGTTTGATTTTCCCTTCCACCCACCCATCCTAGGATATGACTAGCTCCTCAAAAGATTTTGGTACTCTTCTGAAGTAATAGCAACACTGGATTTTTTGGTTTTGTAAGACTATTTAATACCTCATATCATGGCTTTGATGTGACTGCTTGAATATGTACTGCACCACCTGCAAGAAAACACCAGATGTTAGAACTACATGTCTTATTGATCTATTTCCATATTTTCTCACCTTGACTAATTCCCACTTACAACAATATTATAAAGCAAACTTTTAAAAAGTTACCAATAAATGATGTCAAAACTTTGTACTAAATAAGCAATGTTAATATCTGATCCTAAGCTCTTTGTATTTTCCATATTTTAAGGCATTTCTTAATTAAAACATGTTAAATTAATTAAACTACTCTACCTTTTTCTGATAATTAAAAAAAATGATTTTGATAGTCTACATATTTCTGGATAGTTTACAGATTTCATCAGTTTACTAAAAAAGTATGGTTGATCAATAATTGCATTCAAAACACTCTTATTCTTGAATATTTTATTATAAAGAATCAGTAACAGTTACATTTTGACATAATTTTTTAAAATTACTAAATGATATTTAACCGTGGTTTAAAAAATTTAAGGACATATATGTTCACATACATACACAGTATAAACTATTAATGATTTATTGTAAAATAAGTAATTTATTACATTTCTTCTTAGATATTTTTTCTGAGACATTTTGATTAGAAATTGTTCACAACATGTAAGAAAACAAGGTTCTTTACAGTTGCTTTTGACATTTGTGGTTTGAACAAAATTGTAGTGTGCGTAACAACTAGGTGAATTTCACATGAGAGAGCCGTGCTCACCACCCATCTCTCCTCTCCATTGAAACCCGCAGACGTCTTGCTGGAAACGCTTTGACATACATTCCCAAGGGAGCATTCGCTGGCCTTTACAGTCTTAAAGTCCTGTAAGTAAACAACTGTTATTGCACATTTATCTTATTTTAGTGTTACATGGCTGCTGATTAACTTGAAAAGTATGAGTTCCCTAATAGGCCATTTAGATACTTAAGGTAATTCCTTTCAACTCAAATCTACCTTTATTGGGGCTATAGCATCATAATATTTGTAGCTAAATTTGCATATGAAAAAATTCATCATCTTTCATCCTTTTCTAACTTTAATATCTACAATTGTTTACTTCTAAATAACCACCTTACCAAACTTCTAAGAATATTTCTCTTTTCCTTTAAGTTAGGAAGCTAAGGGCCACGACTCAGAGTATGATCAGTAATGTTGATTTTGATCACTGCAGTGCTAACATAGACTATAGTTTTGTTTCCTTATAATGTGCTGAATGTCTACCTGCATGTGGATGTAGAAAAGCCTAGTGCATAGGAAATGCACTAATTGTTTCATTAAAATGCCACTGTATTGTGAAGTCTAAATGTAGGTTTTCTTATCGTTTAATGTCCAACTTTCGGATTTATTAGGAAACTCTTAATATTGACAACCTCCTTCTTCTGGTACCCATTGCTTAATTGTTTTTCAGTTTGCTCTAAATAGAAAAAAAATCATTAATGCAAATTGAAAGCCATTCTAAAAAATTTTACTTTAGAAAAAAATATTCTGATTTTATTTCCTTTCTTTGACACAAAGGTCACTGATTCTTAAAAATAAAATATTTGACTTATTCATGCTTGATGAGAATTGAATTTTAGCAGATTGAGGGATATGCAAATTTAAAAAAAAACAGGTGAATTAAATTTAATAATTTGCTATAAGCTAAGCTCAATGGCAGAACTATTGTTTGGCCTGCCGAGGTGTTTGGGTTTGGTTTTCTTCTCCATTGTATCTTTTTTTGTTAAGCAGAAATATATTTAAGTTGTGATAGTGTCAAATCCTAATGTCAGTTCCTTACGTAGTAAAAATCTGAGTTGCAGTACCAGGTCCAGTGCACCTGCATCTTTACCAGTTCAACCAAATATTTGTAAACATTTGAAATGAATCATGAAAGCAAAGTTTACATAAGGCATTTAAAGTGATGTTTTCTTCCATCAAAGTATATACTAGGAAATATTTTGATGCTTAGTAAATAAGTTATGCTATAATCAACTATTTTAATTCACTTAACAAGATGAACACTGGGCGAGCTCATGTGTATATATCAGGGGACCTCCAGCCATCATAATTTTATTTAAAATGCAGTTATATTAATGCATATAAATAATACATGAATTACACAAAAACTATCATAATTACATAAAAATGTAACTTTAAATCAATTTTATTGAACTAAATTTTTAATTTTTATTTTAAAAAGCAAAACAGAAAAAAGAACAGAAATAATACAGAACAACTACTTCCAAGATAACAATATGTAATTTTAAATCTTTACTTTCTCATGATTTAATTACTCATGTTACCCATGATTTATTTTCATCACTACATTTTCAAACTTTCTACTGTATACTTCTACTTGCATGATGTTTCTGTTGAATATTCTCTACAATATACTTGCAGCTAAAGATGTCGTCTGTCTTGGTCATTAATAGATCCCCGGCTCCTAGAACAGTGCCTCACATATAGCAGACCACTCAGTAAATATCTATGGAGTAAATGTTTCAGATTTACAATACAGAGAAAGCAAGGGAGCTCTGAACTCCATAATTTTTAAATTTTGTATATGAACCCTATGCTATATGTTTATTAATGGACTATTACATGCTATTCAAAAACTATGTTTTCATATCTGATATGGACTTCTACCTAAACACATGTGCTACTCAGAATTGCATGTACAGACTTCTCTGTGTCCTATGATGCCTTTTGTCTGAAACCCTAGGAAAGTATTAGCTTAATGATAAAAACAGGAAAGCACAGATGCCATGGTTTGCATGTAGTTTGAGCTTGCCCCCTTTAAGTTCATGTGCTAGGAGCTTGGTTCTAGTGAGGAGTTGAGATGGTGGAACCTTTAACAGCCAGGGCCTGGAGAAAGGACATTTCACCATTAAGAATATCAGTCTCAGAAGGGATTAATGGAGTTGTCCCCATGATCCTGTGTTGGTCTTGTGTTTCTGGGAAAAAAAATATCCAAGACTCACAACTTAAACACAGATTAATTTTGGCTCACAGTTTTCAGAGGATTCAGCCCAAGTTTGGCTGGCTCCAATGCAGAATAGGGCAGTGGAAGACATGGCACAGAAATGCTGCTCACCCTGTGGCAGCCAGGAAACAGAGAGAGGGAGACAGGTGAGTCAAGGACCAGATATACCCTTCCAGCTCACACCCACAGCAACCCAATAGGTGACCACCTGTACAGAGCTGTACAGATTGTATAGACCACCACCATACAGTCACCTTACAAACATGAGACATGTGGGGAACATTTTAGATCTAAACTGTAACACTGTGGTTAGTTTCAGAGAGAGAAAATTGTTATACAAAGAGCAAGGCTGGCCTCTGAATCTCTTTCATTTCCTGTCTCACTGTGATTGCTCTTGCACCTACCATTGTTGTCCTTCCTGATGCCTTGATTTTGGCACTTGATTTTGGACTCTCAACCTCCCAAAGCATGAGCTAAATAAACCTTTTGCATTATAAAGTTAGCAGCATCAGGTGTTTCGCTACAATTGCACAAGACAGGAAGAAAGTGGATTTTTCTCTCAAGCTTACCACGTAAATGTGCATTTTCACAAAGAAAAAAAAAGTACAAGATGTGTGTTACTAGATGCTTTTTACCCATTCCGAAATAACCAATGTTTCTTGTCCTTTATACAGTCAGCCAGTAAAGTAACCCTCTTGGTTACTTGCAGTGGGCAATGCATCAGTCTCACACACAGTCAGAAATTCAGCAATGCTAATGGATGTAATTCTCAAAGTGGCATTTAACAAATTAATCCTGGAAATACAAGATCCATAAATGCTAGGACAGATTGTGGTATCAAGACAGTGGAACCAGACAGTCATACCTGATTCTTAGTGAAATTATGTCTAGAAATGTGTGCGACACACTATGGAACTGCAGAGGCTGATAGCATTTCATATAGTGCTAAGGCTTGGCTAAGGACTTGGTTCAGACTTGGCTTCCTAGGAGAGAGGATTTTATCAGAAAGATGACCCGGAAGCTGAACTGTGAAGCACAACCTTGCCTTTGGCACCCAAAGACAACAATATACCTAAAGACGGAGAGGCAAAAAGATCTGAGATGAAAAGGTAGTTCTAAGAAGTTTAGTATGCCAGTGCTCAGGAGATAAGGTGAAACATATTTAACATAAACCTTGGAGAAACAAAAAGAGATCCTGGTTATAGTGATCCCATGCATCATATCAAGAAAAGAAAAGAAAAGCACACTATTGTGTTTAAACATGACAAGGAGCCAAGGTACAAGATGCAAGAAAAGAAACGTTCAGACTACACTTCAGCTAGATCACCACAGTATGGGGAGGACTCGAGAGGAGCAAGATCCTACTGGGAACTGTGTTCACTCTTTTAGGTGCTGTCTTAAAGACTAACATTCAATGAATGCACTTAAATTGTGAGATATCTTAAAACCATGTATTTGGCCATTAGATCAATGGTTCTCAGCTGTGGTGTTCCTGCTTGCTATGCAGTGTTTTGAAAAATCTCTGGGGGCATTTTTGGTTGTCTAGATGATTGACACATAGTAAGCTGCATGTGATGTGCTACATAACCCCAGAGAAGGTGAATTCTTCAGCTTCTTGCTTGATTTCCGTCTGTACCTACTCACCAAATATAGATCAGTAGTACTTCAGTGCATAATTGTTCTGAAAGGGCTTACGAGAAGTTCTTCATAAGCCTAACAATTTATACAGGGAGGATTAAATAGAATAAATATTATTTTTCAAAATCATTGAGTTTAACTAAGTATGTTCACCTCACCTATTATTGGTACTTCGTAAGATTTAGTTTAAAGTAGTGTTAGTGCTACCACAAAAGCCACAAAACAAAGTAAAAATATATAACTCCATAAGTGCAAAATTTTCTTTGAAATATGTGTTTTAAATAAAGAGAAAAATAAGAAACTGGAATTTCAGTGAAATTCAGCAACAAAGTTTGCTTTATAAATATTTCATATCTCTGCCTTTTAAAATATCTGGAGCACTAACATCCAACATGTATGTTTTGATCATCATTTAATGATTAATTTACTTGACAGTGGATCAATGATTTTTTTAATCTTACTTTTTCAATGCATATCAGAGTCTACTGCCCAGTTTTCTATAAAGGCAGTTTGTGACACTCTTTTTCCAAACAAACCTTGACTCACCATTTCCTCTGGGGACCTTCTGAAATGCTGGAGAAGGAATGTTCATCTCAGCATGCTATGAAATTTTCAAGCAAGTTTTCTGTGGTATCTTAACACTATATTATACTAGGTCATAGAAAATTATTTTGGCCCTAATATTATCCACAAGGAACACTTATTAGTGAGAATATCCATGACATTTATGAGTATCACTTCATTTTCCATACTATAAATTATGTAATTTATTGTGGCATATTTGTTTTAATGTATATCATTCCCTTTATCTTATATATAAGTATGTCCATTATTACATATCTGATATAGTTTTTATTTTATTTCTAGACTTCTAGTCTCATGGTCCTATTTTTGCATGGAATTGCCTCTGATCATGTTATTTTGCTTGCATCCAATCTTACTGATTAAAAGTAGAAGCAAGCATCTGACTCATTCACAAAAGTATCTCCTAGGGTAGTCACTTAATTTACTATAAATTTGCTATGTATTATATTTTCTATATATCTCCTTAGTAATACACTCAAGATGGTATGTTATATTGACCTTTTTCCCAAAAGAATGTATATAGATAGCCTGTATTCACATCAATTTCATTCAAGTATAGTAGAAAAGAAATTATAAAGTATTTTTTATCAGACAGCTATTTTAAAGAGAACAAGAGACATTAAGACATTATGCCAAGCC